AGATATCATATCAAAAGGAATTATGAAAATTGGTAAAATTCATACTCAGGTTAATCCTTCAGATATGGGAACAAAGATACTGCCTTTAAATAAGTTTCTTAACTGTTTGAAATTGTTATCTATTGATACTTTGTAATGTTGAACAGGTTCTTGGAGCGAATGAAAATGATATGTAATATATTTTGCTCATGGCTACTCTGATTAAGCCTAATTTCTGGTAGCAATGTGGAGATTGTTGAGGCTCGAACCCCTAATCTGTGATGTGCTACCAAAATTGGCTGAAAACATGTTTACTAAATGCAATTCTTTTAGTAATGTAACTTCTCTTCAGATGGTGACACGTGGTCATTTGCTGGACCTTGGATCTGTGGTTTCTTGGTGTGTGATATATATACCGCTTTGGTAGATATTTTATTCACCTGATCTTGGCTCTTGAGCTTCTGCGTTCTACTAGGTTTTTCTGAGAGTTTTTCCCTTTTCTTTTTAACTAGGGTTTGAGATCTTCGTGTTCTTCATCCCTCATGATGAACCCGTAATCTGAGATTAATTAGTGTTTTAGCCTCTGTAATCTATCGTCTGAGTGATAGCTGTGAGAATAAAGGGTTTCTTACAGTCTTGTAGTGCAGTAGGCTGTTGAAAGCTATCTTGTGTGATTCCTTCATTCGATCTGCAGTTTGGTGTTTAGAGATAAGTGCTTTTGTGCCTTTCTCTTGTATTTGAAGAACGATCTGTAATATTGTTGCCATTTTAGGCTTGTTAGTGCAACTGAACTGATATCCATTTTTGGATGCTCAACGGGGGATGTAGGCGTTAGATCCCATTGCCGATCCTCCGGGGCTTAGGCCGAAAGAAATCTTGTGTTTAATCTTTTAATTTTCTGTAACTTTACTTTCGGTTTGTGATTGATTCTTTTGGATCTTGTTTTAATATCGTGTGTCTTAGGCCTTTACATTCAGTAAATATGCCGATTGAGTAACAAATATATAAGAGTTTGGGTGTGAGAAAAAAACCTTTAAAGATGGAAATTTGGGTGCCAAACTTTATCTAGGAAAACCAAAGTTTTGGAATTAAAATGTCTAGAGTTCAATTACCTCAAATGTTCCTAGAGCTTGATATTTATAGGTAGAGAGGGAGTGGGAGATGTATACCATATGTGTAACACGTGGCTTGATGTCAATATTTTATGTATCACAATCACAGGCATGATCCAATAGCCACCATAGGTCCGCGGCTTATGATATATAGCCTCTCCTTACCCCAATACATGCTGTCAAATAAATCATTTTGTATATGGCTCAAACATATTTGACGAAACAACTTCTATAAGAACCTATTTAGCATGACTTTTGCTTTCTGTAGAAGAGTTTTTGGAAGAAGTTACCTTAATTTTTGTTTGAAAAGTATTTTTTAAAAGAACTTCCTATTCAGAACGTGCTTTTAGAGAAAGTTACATTGGATGATCTTTTTTTGAAAGCTCTTCTAATCAGAAAGAGTATTTTCATAAAATTAACTAAACGAGTTCAAAAGCAGCTTTTGAATCTCAAAAATCTCTTTTTGACTTTATAAAAATCATGTCAAACGGGCCCTAAGACTTCTAAGGCAAGCCCCAACTACCTTGGGCTAAAGAGGCTCATCTTACACTAGGGGTTGTGTTCTTCTAGAACACCTCAGAGATAAGGTAAGAGTGACACAGATATGATCTAAGATACCTCAAATGGCGTCGATGTCCGAAGCATTGTAAGGCTTCAACAAATCTCAGTGTCGCTTCGAATGAGGCCCCTAGTTACCCCGGATGAGTTCACTTTTGAGGCCTTTATGGGTTTTTGATAAGTTTTCCATCCTTGAAGAGAATAGTATGTGAACCCTTTGGGTCTATGTGGCAGCCCACTTGCTTGTGGAGTTGTGGCCATTTCATCCAGATGGTAGCCATATGGCTTGTTCCATGGATAGAAACGTAACAAGTGTACTTCATCGCGTTTTACTTTATGGTTTAGATGAGTATAACACTCTTTTTACGAATTATTATAATTCATTTAGAATTATTTCACTGACAAAAAGAAGCATAGACCCATAAAACATTTTGAGCTACTATATGCCAATCATTCTAAATGATAGGGATTACTACCACCATTTTACCTTAATTTCTTGTCTACGAATCAATGTTACCGTACACCCTTCATAACATTCATTTCTCTAAGATAACGATAATATTTTTTTTTACACTGGGAAGGGTAGGGAATGTTGGGGGATCGAACCTCCACCTTCATATGAAAAGTTCTCCCTGGTGCCACCAGGCTCGAGTAATTTTGGCGAAAAGGATTAACAAGTTAATAAATAATTAGTAAGCCAAAAAAATAAAAATATGAGATTTCATTTACCATTTAAAATCTAACCACCATTACTTGAAATGTTTGATAAAGTTTAAATCACAGTTTAAGCTGATTAAATATACTTTTTACCTACACATTTCATAAATAATAAGCATTTAATAATGCTATCGAACAAGTACTTAATAATGTAGCCGCATATATTGAGAATTGGACCCACTGCAATTCTATTGGCCTAAATTATGAAAGAATAATGCTATCTAATGCATATGGTACTAGAGTATCAGTTTAGAATATTATGACATTGTATTTAAGTGAATTCATTATTTAATGTCATGAAATTGTCACTTAAACTGATACTCAACACCAACATAGTATTTAAGTGAATTCATTATTTAATGTCATGAATTTTTCACTTAAACTGATACTCTACACCATCTGTGCTAAATAGCATCGCTCATTATGAAGTTGTCAAATTGATTAATGATAAGTTACTACAAAATTAATGTAATCAGTCTCATTAAATACCATCCCAGCTCATTATCGTCGAGCACTCAACAACTTCTTAAAGCGCACTTTTGAGTCGAAAAGCATTGATTATACTTGGAATCATGTTGAGGTTATTGTGTACGAATGCTTGGCGTTTGATAATCAAGTATAAAATTCATTTTTAATTTGAACTTGTACCGATATTATGACTTTTCTAAGCCATAGTTTTTTTTTTTTTTTTTCGTCTTTGCTTAAATATATAAAGTAATGATTCAATATGAAATTGATATGATGCACAAGTGAGAAGCCTTTACTATTTTACAAAAAGTTCGATCTTGTTTTCCAATATTCGAGTTCTAGTCAGTATACTTAATACATAGAGTGTGTTTGGTAGAGATTTTTAGGGGAAAAATTGATTTTTGAATAGTGATATGATGGGAAATGTGTGGTTGAAAAAAAAGAAAAAAATATTAATGTGATGAAAAATATTATTTTATTGAAAAATGTGTGGTTGAAAATGAGATTTGATTAACTGTATAAAATGAAAATTTGTACCAAACAGGCCCATAGAATTGAAAAATATCGTACATTATAACAAATAAAATTTTAATTTATTTCATTAATAATACTGAACATGACTGTGACGTCGGGATAATAGGGTCTACTTTCCGAATTGGAAAAGCAGATGCGAAAAGAGAATTTCAGGAGAGGGACCATTGGTGCAAGCTCCATATTGCAGCATTATGAGTTGACTTTTTTGCAAAGTCAATGTACCTTTGATTTCTTAAACAAATGATTAAAAAAATCTTACAACAGAAGTGTAGAAGAAAAATTTCGAAATTTCTCTCTCCCCCTTTTCTCTCACTAAAACTCAAAACTGTTATGCATATCCGTGGGCCATCTCCAATATGAAGGAAAAGTAGCAATATATGAACAATAAATTGGATTGCTTGAGCAGATTTTGGGAGGTTTCAAAACATAAGTGGCTTGATGGATAATGATTGGGATCTATATGCGGTGGTGAAAGGCTGCACCGCCACTGCCTCCACCTCCACCACCACCCCTGTTATCTATAGTAACATGTCACCTGCTGATGACCCTTTTCTTAGTTCTGGCTCTATGTCCACGTTCTTAGATGATGATGATGTTGCTTCTTTTAATTTTCCCAGCCTTGTGGAAGACAGACCAGATGGAGCCTTCCAGGGTTTAGAAGAATTCTGCAAGGAATTTTGTATCGATCCGGCCCTGGCTGCGGCCGCCTCGGGAATCACTGCCACCACAACAAGTACCATTCCTGTTGGTCAACTGTTTCCGAGCCAACGCCAGATTCAACCAACTCAAGAAATTCCTCAAATGCAACCACAGCATGTGAATTTACAGATGGACAATCCTTTTATTGGTTCTTCTGTCAATTTTCGAAATACAAACCCTCAGACCATTCGACAGCGTAGAAGGTACCAATTTCTTGCATTCCTTATGTCTTCTTCAAAACATACATAACATGTTTGTGTTTATGTATCTAAAGATAAAGATAAAACTCACGTGTTTTATACAGGAAAAATCAGCAGATGAAAATGGTTCGACAAATGACACAAGAGGAACTCTCTGCTGATTCATGGGCATGGCGGAAGTACGGCCAAAAGCCTATAAAGGGATCCCCATATCCAAGGTTTTGTCGTTTTAGTCTTATTTATTCTACTGTCCAGTTTACATGGATAATACTGGTATCGAATCATTTTAGTTAAACGTATACTTCTTTTGGTTGGATTCAACAGAAATTACTATAGATGCAGCACGTCAAAAGACTGCGCTGCAAGGAAACATGTGGAGAGAAGCCTTACAGAACCAGACATTTTCGTGGTGTCCTATTCCGGTGAACATACCCATCCTCGGCCGACCCAACGGAATTCTCTCGCTGGAAGCACGCGGAATAAGTTTTCTCCGGCCGCCACCTCCGTCGAGCCAACCGCCAATAGTAATATTCCTCCTATGCGTCTTCCAAACTCTTCATTTCCATCTTCATCACTGGCTTCCGGGTCAAGCTCTTCTCAAAATGCAACACTCATGGAAGGTGAAAATGCCGTGCAAAACGATGACGTCGAGATGGCGGATGAGCAGGTTGAAGATGAAGATGAGGATATCTTGTTTCAAGAGCTGAGTGGGACTAATGATGGTTCTGATCACTCAAATGGTGGGGACATATTTTCAAGTGGTTTGCTATCACCGCCGTAGACTACAACCTGCTCCACCGCGACCACCGTGGTAGTCAAAAAAATTTGGGGACACTTGGACTTGTCCAAACCCTCCCTTTCCATATGGGATGAAAGCATATATTCCAAGTCCATCACCATTAATTTTCCTTTTCACTTACTTTTCTATAAATTTTTAGTACTATGGAATTATTTTTCAATTACCTATTAGAACAAAATTTTGTTACTGTAATTCAAGCTATTTTCTGCTTACATTTCAAAATGTTGTTACGCCTCAAATCTACGTGGAAGCCACGTAAGCCCTACCTAAGAAATAAAGGCCATGTAGTCTTACAACATCACACTATTTGGCAGTCTCGCGAGCTTCCCACGCACTCAGTTTGGTTGGGTTGAGGTAGTAGGACTCGCAAACCTTGCTTTTGGCTTCGTATTATATCCTATCATATCACGCCATCTCGTGTGGTCTTCGTGTGTTCACAAAAATGAACATATGATATTATAAATTGTAATCATCAAATTGATAAATAATCGAGATGTAGTAAGGGAACCAAACTAGTGAAATTTTTTGTCCAATTTTTTTTAACTTATTGGTTAAAATATGAACCTAGGACATTTGATCAAAAAATGTCTTGTAGCTCTATTCTAGAAAGAGGTTATCAATAATAAAATTGATTTTATTATGCGAAATGATACTTGGAAATATTGGTAGGCCTCCCACTTGAAAACAAACCTTTTAAGTTGTAAATGAATTTTGAAGATAAACTAAAGCATGCTCGATCAATATATAAGTACATGGCCATATTAATAGCCAAAGGATTTAAACAAAATTTAGGCCTCGGCTTTTTCGATGCATATTCACCAGTGACAAGGATCACATATATTAAAGTGTTAATTCCAATCACCACATACAATTTGGAGATCCATCATATTGATGTTAAGATAACTGTCTTAAATGGTGAACTATATAAGAAATTTACATGGAACAATACGAGGGGTTCGTTGCTCTAGACATGAGAAAAATGTATGCAAGTTCGTTAAATTCTTATACAGACAAAAGCAAGTGCCAAAGTATTGGTATAAAAAAATTGACAAAAATATGTTGTCAAATAGTTTGATATTCATGTGTGTTATAAATGTTACAGTGTTTTCATCAAAAATCACACCAAGCTTATGTAATTGTATGTCTATAACTTAGCGTGTGTCTGTTTCCAATTTTCCCCAGCTTTTAATCCCTTTTTGTACCTTAGGCAGCAGCACATGTTGACCTCCTCCTCACAACGATGGGACCCTTGTTGAAATTAACGGACAAACAATCAATTTTTTGGTCAAGAAAATTGCGTCCAGACAGACCCTTAATGACAGGCTAATTATGAAAAGTAATCATGATATCACAATAGTTACTAAGAAAATATTGGCATGAAAGATATGAATGTGAAAATCAGAAAGATCACCTACACAAGCATTAAACAGGATCTGTTCTATGAGAATGTTTCAAAATTTGAATTCTCTAAAGCACTTGTGAAACCTAAGAGTTGTCCGGAATAAAAAATGAACACAACTTTGAGAATCGAAGGTGTTATGACTATTGTAATGGTTTACACATGCAACTAAACTTACATTAATTGATTAGCCAAGTAAACCCAAAAGTATTCCATATGGAAGGTTCAAATCCACAAGATACCTATCTCGATGTAGTAGCTTTCCACTTGATCTTTCTGTAAGTTTTTGCATACTCTATTACATTAATTTTCATTTATGTTAGAGATTGTTGAAAATCGATTATTTAGCCCTTGTTTGACCCCATTATTTTTTTTTGCCTAAACTCATTTTAATCACACGTTCTTCCAATAATATAGTTTTAAACATAAATCCAAAAATTCTTTCTACTTTTTATAACCACACATTCTCCAAAAAATTAGTATAACAAAATCTATTCTCCCAAAAAATAGGGCTCTAGCTATCCTTTGATAAATTAGTTTGACAAACTTTTGACCAATTATTTGAGCATGTCCCATTAGTCGAATTATAATACTACTTTAGATGAGTGTATTTTACTCCTAGATTAAAACAATTATATTTATTTTCTCAAATCAATTTCGCCTGACTCAGAAATTAAGGGTCAAAGTAAGCCAAATGAAATTATAATAGGTGGAATTAGAAATTGGTGGAAAATGAAAAGTAACCATCCAATATTGAAAAATTAGAAGCATATATATCACTTTAAATAGCTGAAAATGGTACCAATGGTTTTTGGAATGGAGATAACCTACAAGTTAATAGGTTGGATCAAAGTCCAAACACGAGTAGCTGTCATCCGCTCGTCGACTGAATTGAGCTTGGGCACGAGCATGAGTACGGGCTAGGTATAAGATGATATATATCTTCTTGGAGAAAGAATATATTTATTTATTACCTTCTAAAAATTGTCATGTTCTGCGAAGTGGATTGATTGGATTTCGCCACGTATCCTCAACATTAAAGGTTCAATGTTAGCAGAATATGTTGGTCCCTATACCCTATTTCTTACTCACACTTTTCATAACATAGACATGCACTTCTTTAAAAGAAAATTGGGTTCCATATTTTTTTTAAAAAATAATCTTCTCCAGCATTATCATTTAACATGAATGTGTACAAATATGTAATGGCCATAAATTCTGAAATGTAGGGAAATAACAATTTAACATAATATACATTTACACATTTATACACATTAAGGATAATTAAGGAAGTTTACTTACTAGCAACTTTATATATGTAACACATTTATATATTCAACATTGTAGCACACAATTGAATAAGGAGAGATTTACTTACTTGAAATCCTTAGCACATTTCTTTTAGAACAACAAATGGAGATGTACCCAGTAACTCACGAAATCAACGTGCCAAAAGTCCTAGCTACGTTGTTAAGAGATTAAAAAAAGATTAGGCCAATATCAACAACAAAATATGTAAGAACAAAAAATGAACAGGTACGATAGAAGATGAAATTTCATTAAACTTTGCCCTAAGGCAATAACACCCAAATAGACCAGTTCTTCCGTCACTAGAAGAACCACCGTCCGAATGGAAGGTAAAAATGACATGATTTTGGCACTCAGACCGTAACCACACAAGATCACATAATCGCAGCCTTCGCTCGACAATTGATTGTTCACAAAAGAACACAACTCTCTACTCAAATAGAAATCACTCAAGATTAAAATAGTTTGAGAGAGTAACAAAATCAAAAGAGAGTTTTGATTTGCAGAGAGAAGAAGAAATAGAACTCGAACGAAGCTGTTGAAGGAACTAATTAAATATTATAGCCTCAGAACTTAAGTTCATCATTATCCAACCCCAAATTTCAGAGACACGGCCAGAACGAAGGGGAACTCAACAGCCGACTGGTGCGACCACTGCAAACGTGCAGGGCACAACCAAGAAGGCTGTTGGATCCTTCATCCTCATCTCCGGCCGGCTCGAAGCAAGGGAGGGAACTGGAATAAGAGAGAAAGACGATTTGGAGGGTTTGGAGGCACGAACAGAGGGATCGAAATGACCCCTAATGAAGGGGATGATTCTAGAATTGGGCCTAAAC